GTTAAATAATAATTCACATTTGAAACAGTTTTAAATTAAGTTGGTCAGCAGCGCAGACCTTAAAAAGCCCTTTTATTACTAAATCGAAGACTTGGGGGCGAAGCCCTAAAGGAAATTGCCTTTTTAATTACCTTTCATCCCTTAGCTAGATTTTAAGCTTCAAAACTACATCTCAACTTTCTGATAGCATTTATTATATTTAAAACGACACGTACAGTTTCTTTTTCATTGCATGATTTACTAAGACAAATGGTATTTATGTTTAAATCTAGCTTTGAACTGCAATCATGGAACAGAATACTGAATCTCCTAATGTTCATTATGGATTACTGTCTTGTGACACAAACTAACTTAGCCAAAACATGTATTTTCAATTCTTTTGTGAATTTCGTCTTCCTATTTATATACATGATGGCTGTATGTTTTTAAAAAGTGTTAGGTACAGTGTTAGGACGATATAACACGTACAGTGTATGTCTTATTATCTATTTATAACAAATCACATGTATTGCTTATCATTCAGGCAATGTTAATAAACCTGCTCCAAAATACTGTTTTGTATGCACTTTTTTATGGTACTTTTTGTGTACTGGAACGGGTGGCGTCGTCCTGTAATCCAGCTACTAGGAGGTCACGAATTGTGGATATTTATAGGCATGCACTGTGGATTCGATACTCCCTGGTGTGGATTAATGTCCGCACGAGTGAGTACTGCGACTATCCGCAGTACTATCCTGATAATTCGTATATACCAATTCGTATATACCAAGGCAAAAATGTGGTTCGGATTCCACTATAAACTGTAGGTCTCTTAGTTGCCATTAGCTTTATGGGCTATTAATGAACAGCTGTGTCTAAGGAATGTCGGCCTTAGTCATTAACAAGACTACAAGATCGGGCCACTCATCCTACACTCATCTCCATTCATACTTGGCATAAAATACCTACTTTGTATGGTTGCCATTTAATAAGAAAGTATTAAAAGTATGTGTAGGAATATTCAATAAGGTTTATATTGTTATAGGGTATATTGACCCCTATAATATTGTAATAAAATCATATCCAAACAAATCTTGTGAGGTGTGAACTAATCAGTATTGCCAACGCATCGTGTCATCCACGCAACAGTTTTTCATTTAACTTACTGTAGCCTATAATATGTATCCTAACAACCGCTGCACACAGAATACTAACGCGTTGTTCATTTTGTTACGTATACATTTGTTCAACTTAGACACAATCAACACAAATATTACTCTCTGTGTAAGTCACACGGGACACACTTTGCCCGCGGCGTGTGCTCCAAGTTACATACTACAACTGACAGCTTTGTTTAACGGATTGTTTAACAGAAACCTTTGTTTTCCCGCCAAAGTGAACCCCCACCCCGGATCACCCGCGCTTTAGCTCTGGCTGTATTGAGGGGAGCTCCCAGCCAGCAAAGAGAATATTTTGCATGCGAGGGTTATATTATGATGGATATTAGTTAGGGAGATTAAACAGGCAAAAGTTGATATTTGGCTTTCTTTTAAATAACATTAGGGTATGAGATACATTTGCCGTTATTATGTAGACAGACACCCCCCTCTAGGTGCGCAATTTTAAGCTGTTCATTAATGTAATATGGAAAGTGGAGCGAGATGTTTTTGTCCTACAGTAGTACTAATATCAGTCGTGTCCATACTTAGGGCCGTTTATTGAAATACAAACGATCAATGACGGCTAAACTATTCAACCAACATTGTATAAAATATCTGTGAGTTATGAAATAAAAATCAAGTCACCATAGTAAGAGTTTTCATGAATTAAATTCGCTCGAGACCGAAGACCTCACTTTTCAAGAGTCAAATTTGAGCTGACTGAGCATTGTTGCTGACTACGCTGATTGTTGCAGCGAAAAAGTTGTATACTGTATGCTTTGATCCCGTGTCGTTCGATGTTCTCCCATACATCGAACAACTCTGGTAAAACATACAGTAAATAAATGCTAGTTGATTTTTATTCTAAAGATAGAGAATGTGCCCAAAAGTATTGATAAACGTTGACGTTTATTTGCACATTGTACCTTTTACTACTGGTTTATACTACCTTGCTAACTCTTAGACCTAAGCTGTTTTACAAATATATTAAGCTAAAGGTGAGTAATTACTTGTTGTCATCAAACGATAGTCATTAAAAACATCTATGTTAATTATTTTACTAACCTACGCTAAAATGTACTTGGAGAGTTAAGATTTGCAACCTAAAAATCTGTCATTGTTAAATACAAAAATAATTTTTATTCGTAAGGAGCCATTTTCAGACTTAAGTAAAAAAAAAAAAATTAAATTGTGAAATCAACGAGTAATTTGAGTCAGAAACTGATTGTACTGCAAAAATGTATAACACAGTAGAATGGCTGCAGCGAAATTGTTATCCCAGAAACACAAAAAAGGCAGTGATATAAAATAAAGAAGTCGATTCTTCAAAAAATACAATAAATGGGTTTCTTCAAAGCTACAGAATAATCAGTATCATAAAATAAATAATTAGCTACTGAAGCCCTTAGGTCGGAGATACTCATTGCAGCCGAGAGCAAACAGAGGAGCTAATTAACCAATACGTAGACACTCACCCTCGAAGAATTAGAGGTGTCAAAACTTAGTCATTCAAAACGGAAGAATGTGATAATGGTCGTATCAAATGTGAGGGGGGCGTCTGCCACTCGAAACATCAATTTTGACACAAACACATCCTCGCACTCGAAACGCTCCGATACGTCCTCGAGAGCTTATTTAGCGACCCCGAGCGGGAATTGAACCCGCACCCTCCATCTAATTAGGCCCCAGTAATCTTTGTGCTTTTAATTACTTCTTCTTCTCCCCCGATGCAAATCTTTTCACTGTCGCCAGCCGCACTGATACCTAATTAATGATCACATTTCTTTCACAATGACATTGCCAGACGTTTTGTGTTTGGTTTAGGGAGAGATTGTTGCAGTCGTCGCTTCCGATTATAAGAGGCACCCACCAATAGAAATCGAAACTTGCAGTTAATGTTGCAACTATTGTTTTATGGTGTACCCTTTAAAATTAAATGAACGTGTGGTATTTACGCGTTTTGTTATAGTTAGAGGGTGTCTAAATCCTTTCATTGCACTACTTCATTCTAAATTGTGTACCTTAACCACGACACAAGATCTTGTTTCGTTTTGTGAATGACCAACATAATTATGTATCCACTAAATAGTGTCAGTTAAATACAATTTCTCACACGATCTTTGTATTTTATATAAAAATGTTATTTTTATGTAGTTCATTTTCCAAATACAACCACCAAACCCATTAGTTTTTTATATAAAAATACTGGGTAAGAATGGTTTACTGATGTTGAAGTATATTATTTTAGCTGTTAAATATTTGTAATATTATATGACAGGTTGTTCAAAATTATGTTGTAAATTATGCTAATTAAATTATGATTTGAAACTATGAAAGTCCAAATTTGCTCAACTAATATTTTCTATTTGACCAGTTTTTAGAAGCAATTTAGAACATGCGTTATAATAATCCTCATAGTAACTAACATGAATGTTTGATTTACTTATTTTATGTATCTTTTCACTTAATAGATTTGTTTCAATTGTCTTAGTAATAAAATAAAATCAATAAATCCAGACCAAACTTTAAATTTAAAATGATCAATGAAATGTGTCTAACAATTGATAGAATGCAATTTCAATAGCTGAATCATCATTAGCATTTTATGGTGTATTTGTTATAGTATATCGTCAACAATAGACGTTACCGTTTTACAAGGTTGGCGACACTGGTGATGGTGGCGCCGCTGCATATCGAGAGGAAACAAGGGTATTAGCGCGCCTAACTACGTGTTAACAACACAATGGCGACACACTCGAATGTAAACATGTGCCTCTCTTTTATGCACTGTATAATAGTGAAAAATATTTTATCAAAGCTTTTTTTAGAATGTGGTCAAACAGATGATAATGTGTATAATCTTAAACATTGTACACGGAGCTGTGTACTGGGGAATCCATGAATGTGGGGCATATTGGGTGTTGGCAACTACTGTCAATCAAATCGTTGGGAAAAACATACAAAAAACTTTAAAGTTTTACAACTTCGTATGGTAAAACAGGTTACAAAAGTGCTATGATAAAATAAACATATATATATACCATACCCTGTCCTTCTACCAAAGGTTCGACCGATTTTTTTATTGCATCGTCCAAACCTACACGAATTGATCATTAACCTCATTAATTCCCCTTTAGTCAAAATGATGTTATATACCTAAGTGTTACTTTCTGAGTGAAAGTGAGTGAAGTTTTTCCTTCCTGAGGAGGTGCAACTCCTTAAAATACAAGAAGGTCCCTAGTTCAAAGTGTCTGTGTTGATGAAACTCTGACATTGAATCATACAGTGATTACCCTTTGTGATCATCACTAAATGAGTTAGATCCTCTGCTCATTGCTCAACATAGTTGAAGGAGTGTTAAATTTGATTTAAAACTATATTTCACACATAGAGGCTTTTGGGGCGTCGTCAGTTAAATATTGCTGCATGATGTTACATAATCAGTCCTCTCTATGAATAGACGTCCTTGGAGACTCAATCTCCAGCACCGGTGAGGGTGCATATTCAAAGAATGACACTAAATTAAGCTATATCGGGTTCTTAATGACATCATCACCGATGCTTATTCAACAAGAAACTTTGTTAGAATTTAAGGGGATTAGTGCACGTATCCTCTAGTTAATTGAATATGGTTGGTCGCTGGTACCATACGCTCATAATAATTAATTCAGCCTTCACCGCTGAACTTGGTAGAACATCGTACTTGGTACTTTGCACGATTAGAATCATTATATGTTAAATTAAGACCGGTAATCTGTTTAAATTGGATGATGCCTTTGGGATGTAAATTGGGAACAAATCAATCAGCTCTTCTCAATCATTCCGCATATTTCTTACTAGAGTTGTTGTATATTGTTGCAGGATGCTGCAGGGCATCTCCCGGCCGGAGCAGGGGCTGCTGCCACCCCATCACCACCAAAGTCTGGGGCACCACACCCTGGGCCCAACATCGGGCTGGCCGTCATCTCAGCCAGATGATCTACCACACAAAGGTAACGATCCACAACCTTCTTAGCCTTGCAAAATCATATGAATTCTGGTCAAAAGGACAAAGCACATGTTGAGTTGCATCATTTACATATCATTTTTAGCACTAATTCTTGAACAATCTATTGATGAATCGTTTCTGAAGTGTTAGTGGATTGGGTGTCATTTATGACTATGTGATTGAATTTTACCTGATAACGTTGACGAGCTTGAAGTAGTGGATTCAGACGTTGATCAAGAGGTAAATTCTCGATTGTTCCTTTCACCCTGCATCCTTAATCAATATGTACAGAGGTCACCCACAGGTGTTTGTAAATTTGTGATCACAACTAATCCTATTTACGTGGTGGAGATGAAATTGTTTGGATATTGTCAGACAAAATAGTTCCCAGTCATTGCGTCATGTAACGACATGGTTTACCAAACTGATTTGCAAAGAGGTTTAATCGGGTCTCTATTTATAATATAGAGGTAGGAGTACTATTTACATCCTGATTGAGTAATACCTGACGGAATTGCTGAAAGTCATCCCAGTTGTCTTGTTAATATTTGGTTCGTTGCACATAATATTCAATTTCTTGTCGTACAAAAAACAATTAAGATGCAGTTGGGGAATTCTCGTAGATAAGTTTCCAGTTTAAATTCGTCTAAGCTTTAATCTTTTATTTAAATCGATCAATGTCAATTTCTCTTTCCATCTTTGTCTCTCCTATCAGTATCCAAAGCTTCCTCCTCCACCTTGTCACCCAGTCTGTCCCTCGCTCACCCTTTCGCCGATTCTCCGCTCGCTTGTCACACACGTATCCGTCTGTTACTACTGTACTGTTAATCATCTCCAGGTAGGGGTAGCCGCCCAGGTCTGATGAAAGGCTCCGCTTGGCCGGATGTTGTGTACTACAGGGTAACCCACACCCTATTGTCCGAAGGTTATTATGTGCTAGATAGGAAGCGCTGTCAACCCTACTTAGCTCTACACTCTGTCGGCCTCGTCCAATAGCATACTTATCTCTGGCACCCCGCGCCCTCTCTGAATCATTTAGTGTTTTAAATGTTTCCGACCGCTCTAGCGTGTCATTTCCATTGAGCGTTTTATTCGCGGTTACCCTTCTTCAAGAATGTTTCATGGTGCAAGAGTAAAGTCTTTCAACACATAATATTATTAGTCGAGCTGAATGTCAAGCAATCAAAGGGTAATGCTGTGTACCGAGCATTAGACGAAGAGTGAAGTAGAATAGCCAAGCCGTATTCGGGTTTGTTATTCGTAAATGCAGTAAGCTTTTAATTATGAGTATTGAGTTTCAACGTGTTTTCGCTATCGGATATATTTTGTTATTACACCATCAACTACACCATTATCACTTATATAACCACCATATAGACACACAATCATAAAACTTCACTAGTACAATTTCTGTCTCGTTTTTGCAAAATAAGAAAAATGATTTCCTCACAGAAATAAGTTCATATGAGAATATATAAACCACATCCTTTGAAGGGGTAAAGGGCTAGAAAGATGTTTCAAATATATAAGGTACTAGGAAACCAACAGATGCTGACCTTTTTATTCCATGGTTGCATGTTAATTTGTCAGGTAGGTATTTTCGTGCTGCAAACGTATCAAATTGTAATAAAAAGTCTCGGCCCAATATGACTATCAGTTCTGATCCGACGCCGGAGACAACACAATATCATATGTCACCTCTGACTTGGGCACTGGCCGTCGTCCGCTAGTGACACATTATCATTCCCGGTGGTCCCCCGCCCCTCCCCCACAACCTCCTGTCCGGGGAAACTCTAACAGTTCGTATCGCGTTACTTCATTACAAAATACTCTCAGAAAATATTATTTTCCCGGTTTTTTACCTCAGCTCGTATCGGGTGTCGTCGTCATAGCGCACGGCCGCGCTGATGCCGTGTGACGCTATATAAGATTACCGCCTGTTTTTGTGGTGGCGTCAAAATATCGGCGGCGGCGAGGCGTAGAATGGCCTGGACAGCTGGACGTTGACAGGTGGCGAAGGTACGTCATCGGACACCCTCTACTCGCCTGTCGTCTGCTGGCGGAGGTGGAGATTTGTCCTAGTTATATGGAAATTCTATTGGAGGTACAACCGTTATTATTTGCTATGTTTTGGAGATCAAAAACATAAGTTTTGAGGGATAATGTTTTGTTTAAATTCCTACTTATGTTAACTTTGTAAGTCCCAACGAAGGAGGAGGTCAATTTCAGAATGTAAATTCATAAATTGGTTCCACTAATGATCTTGGATACAAAATTAAAGAATGACATCGGGATCCAAATATGCAAGATGATGGTGCATTCATTCAAACAGTAAATATCCGATCCCCAAATAAACTATGATTTATCTTTAGAAAACACCATTTCTAGCTAAGAAATGGAGTCGAAAGAGTCGGATTCAAAGGAACTCGGTAAATCAAAAACTTGTAGAGTGTAAGGAAAACACACAAATAAGAAGATTACACAAAGATCTTGTGACAGCCGGTGAAGAAGATGATTTAGCTACTGGTAAATAAACCTAAGTGCGAGCCCTCGGAACGCATTACTGACGACATAACTTGGGGAAAACACCCCTCAGTTCGAAGATATTTACTAGGAATGATATAGGGATAGCGGGCAGAGTGGTACAAGAAATAGAACACTTTATACGGCGTGGTCTCTGGAAGAATTTCAAGGCACATAAACTACCACAACACTTAAATAAACTGTCAGGGGGTGTTCCAGAAGGGGGAGGGGGTTCCACCCGTCATTCTCACAGCTTTGTCCCCCAACCCCCTTCTCACTGCTGAGATTTACAAAGAAAGGAACTTTTCTCGACTTCACCCCGGGTAGTGGCGGTTCCGTAATATCTTTAATTCATCCCTGGAAGTGTCACATACACTCTCCTTAAAACACACTTCTTCTTCCTCTCTCTCCGACTCCTCTCCGAATTATAATTTGATAAATACTGCCGAAGAAATAAAGAATACAGTTCTGGCGTTCGTTCCCGTCCCGGATGAATATTAATTCTTTTCCGTCGTTATTAAAATCAAGTCGAGCGATGAAAAAAGTTTCCGTCCGATATTGAAAAAGTTGGGTCCACTTTGTTACAATAGAGTTCTTAGCTTCTCAGCCATTGTGCCAGCGCCAGCCGGGTGTGACTTCTAATTAACTGATGGCGGAAGACGTAATCAGCAGTCGGCGTAAGACGATACACGCCAGGTGCGGCACTCATTAGCATTGCACACTGCACAGTCTTGCCACACTAATGGTAATTGCCATTTGGATTTCGTAAAAACTTGCGACTCATTTACTGTCGAATAGATATTCCTCATAATAAGTTTTGTTTGTGTCCCTGCAGTCTGTTGCAAAATGTAATGACTTAATTATGAACACAATGTTTTTATTTTAAAAATTATTGATATCGACGTTATAGCTGACACCTTAATATTTTCTTCGATTATAGATAGACCCTGATCTTTTAAAGCCCATACTAATACCATTAATTATAAATACACGTGTAGGCCTAGTAGACTCTCAAATTGTGATGGGCCACTATTTTCTATTCTATTCGATAAAAGTGACTATACAGCTGGTCCATAGACTAGCCTGGTATCTAAAATTCAATCCAGTCCCAGGGACATAGTTTTTAGGTAGTAAACCCTTGTTAACTTTCACATGTTTTATTACTTTAGTGATTCAACAAAGATAACCTATTGTTAATATTTTTCAAAATATATTCCGTGATTGCAGAACTTAACTGTGTTCAGCTCATCGCAAATACCAGTACAGTAGTCTGAGGCTACAGGTTGTTAAGGACTTTTGTAAAAAAAAAAAAAAAAATTAAACATAAACATTTGATTTCCTTCATTTTGAGATACCTACCATTTCTATAAAAAAAACCCTATACCAAAGCGGTTCAACAATTTTCACGAACACTTTTCCAATAAACTCGGTAGATAAAACCAAAAGTTTTTTTAAGAGTTTTAATTTTGAGCAGAATTTAAAAGATTCGTATCCAACCACCTTGACCCTTTACTTGTATGAAAGGTGTGGTTTGAATGTATCACCTGTTGGAGGCTGGACGCTCGCCATCCCCTGGTCTCTTGGCTATCCATCCAAGTGTCGCCCGGCAACAATCCACATATCACATCCTTCTTTTGTCTTTTAACTTAATCATTTGTTTCAACATGTCCTGAAATTTATTCAATTTCAAATTACTACTGATACTTTTAATGTTTACGTAATCTTTTTTTCGTGACAATTGATTGACACGTTAGATAGTCAAGATTTGTATTTCCACGTGCTGGCACACCATGTTCCAATTATATTATTGTGTCACAGTTTTATTCATTTATTTCAAATCGGCTTGCAAGTTAGATTAAATATTTTTATTTTTTACCTTTTAGTAGTTTTTCCATGATGGACCATGTTACAATAATACACTCTTGATGAAAATGTTGCAAACTTGTTATTTGATGAAAAACGAGGCTAGGAATTATTGGGATTACTAACTCCCCTAATTTTCCAATTTTTACATCGTATACATCATCAGGTAAAGGTTATTCCAAATTTACTTTTGTTTGGCTGTTGAGTCATTTTCGTTTTACTAATAACTAATTTTTAAACTTTGTTTCATGAAAAGAATCTTTTAATACCGGTAACTCATTTTTAACGTCATTTTACCTTTACGATAAGAATTTGTTTTTGGTATTATTATTCTAAGCACTTAGACAAGGGAAATACTTTAGTAGTTACTATTACGTAGGGTTCTGGCTGACTCTCGTTTTCTCAAAAGTTGTATACCAATTTGTGAGCAGTAGGTTTGTTTCCGTGTAAGAATTTCTCTATTAATTAGTCCAGCTACGAGTTCCCCTAGATCCTGGGCCTGTGGTATTGTCAGGGACTCCCGGGGGGTGGTGGGAAGACTCCAGGGGGGCTCGGTGGGGCTCCGCCCTGGGAACTACCTTGACTCACCTGCGGCTACACGCTACACCTGACGACTGACGAGGACCCGGTCTTGGGAGTAATTAGGACATTCAAACTTTAACCATGCCATTACCAAATAAATAATAGTTTTTTACCACCAAAAAGCAGTAGGTAAAGTTTATTAAATAAGGTCATATTTTCCCTTTTGTTTTGTAATTGGAAAAAAGATGAGTCAAAAGAAATCTTTAATCCTTATTTTGTTGAAACTTAGGTATTGTGAAACACGTTATTAAATGCTCAATACGAATCAAATGTATGTTAATTCATGTCATTAAGATTTTTTTGAAGTGTTTTTTTTAACTCTTTAAAAAAAGTATGGAGTATACACAATGTAATTTTTCCAAAGTCTATTGTACGGTTTCAATCATAAACAAAACAATCGTAATAACAATCAATATTTTCCCAAACTAATGTCCACACAATGTATAATTTTTATTCAAATCTTAGGGATCATATTTTACACAAGATCCTTTTCAAGTAATTGCTTTCCTTTGCACTTTATTCAAGCGTTTTATTTTAGTACAAACATAAAAAATACGATGTATGCTAGTTTTCACTTAGTAACGGTAAAAAATTCATTCAATTACATTTCGTCCATAGCTACTTTAAGAGGCTCTGAAAATGGCGAATCTATAGTGAAAACTACAAATTGTAGAATGCCCTAAACGCTGAACTGAAACATCCAATAAATCACTTATTGTAACAATCACAAGATCGTCCACAAAGCCCTGTCTGAGGTTGAATGGACCATCCAGAGATCCATGTGTAGTGTGGAGATGTTTTGTGAGGGTTTTGGTTTTCTAAAGGCTGTCACGGGTCGCTAGCGCGGCGGCTTTGAACGTTTATTAAGGTGTTCCTGTTTAAAGGACCAATTGACATTTCGGAGCACTATGGATACAGCTGTAAGTTATTGATCGCATAAAATACCTCTTGGCAGTTTATATCCTTGGGGTTGGATTGAGACTTCTTCAACTAATTTTGTAGTCTTATATAACGAGATTTGTTGTGTGGGTACTATTAGAACTATAAGGACTTTTGGTTCATTTGCTTCATTTTGGTTTATTTAGCATTGATCTATTAAGTTCATAAAATTATGTTTGTGTGCTGAATCAAATTGCAAATTTTCCAAAGAATATATTGACCATATTTTAAATTTACTTTATTTATCATGTTATATTTCTACTTTGTACTATTTCTCTCGTCATTCGTTTAATGTTGTTGCTCTGCAAGCTACCTCCCTTACCAATTCATACTAGTACTATTTTACTTGTCATTTTTCGATACTACTATACTACTTCCATTCCATAGCCATTTTCTTATGCTACTTTACTTGTCGTTTCTGCGCTTTTTCAATTTCAATTCCTACTCTATACTGTTTCTCTCCTTACTTGTTCTTTGTAAAATATTTTTTTACCATATTTATACTTGATGATATTAACCTCTTAATTTTTACTACGTCATGCAATTCATTTGGCCATTTTTGTTCTTAGTACGGGTTTCTCAGTATCTGTTGCATTTTCTACTATCTCTCTTGTTATATCGCGAGACCTCCACCTGTGCTATCGCTCGGCGGCAGCTCGTACCCAGTAGCAGCCAGAAGATGTTAGATATTTGCCGTATTGTGTACAAGGCCCGCGGTTCCTTTGACGTCGGCGGGCCGTGTAATGCGTTTAGCCCGGTCCTGGCCCAGGTGAAGTCTCAATCCACCGGTCCATTCACACTGTTTTGACCGAGCTGTGCCCCCGCTGGGGTAAACATCCCCTCGCAGTCGCAAATTATCTCGTCGGCGTCTTGTTAACACGCTCTGCAGCCATTCATACTGATATGTGCGTTTTGTCGTAGAGATCATCCGAGCCAGAGAGGTATGTGGTATGCTTTATAATCGTGGGGTTCAGGAAGTGAGTATTAATTTCTGTTAAACTCTTGATTGGATTTACGTTCATCGTGTGGAGTATTAAAGGTTGTATATTGGTTGAAAATTGGCACGCTTTACTTTGTTGAAAAAAACACTGATCTTGATTTAAATTACCGGCTGTGGTTTTCTAAGTGACGTCTGTTGGTTTGGATGTGTACAAACAAAGTTACGTACACCAGCGAGCACATTTTGATGAAATTTGCTATATGGATACTAATCCATGGTATCATAAGGCGTTACTTTATTTAAAAACGGGCCAAACGATTTATACTAATATTTTGTATTTTATTGGCCATTTTAACCCAAAACAAAATGGTACCACCCAATTAGGGGTAAAAATAACCGTAAATATTACGTTGGTAGGCATATTGACAGATTTCTATTGGTTTCACTCATCTAAATCCTCTACGTCTCAATACTTTTTTTAAACAAAATCGTAGTCTAAGGTTTGTGATTTTGACAAAAATAATTTTAATCGCTTATAAGTATCCAGTTTGGATTAAATTATTTCGAACATTCTTGCAAACCCGATCGCGCTTCATAACTTGTATTGGTTTATTCATTCTTAACATTTAAAAATCCATAATCGGAGACTGTCAAAATTTCGCTTCGCTAATTCTAACTGGAATAAAAGCAAACATAGACACAGAGACAGATTATCGAATACTAAACTGTTTAACAATTACCATTTGTTATGTGAGACAATAGCAAAACATCTTGCAACGTCAAGTGCGTCACAGGTACATCCTTGAATGACATTACAATAAGTGATACAGAACAGCACGTGATCAGCTGATCAGCTGTGGATCGTCACGACGCTAAGTTTACGTTAAGTGCGTCACAGGTACATCCTTGAATGACATTACAATAAGTGATACAGAACAGCACGTGATCAGTGATCAGCTGATCAGCTGTGGATCGTCACGACGCTAAGTTTACGTTAAGTGCGTCACAGGTACATCCTTGAATGACATTACAATAAGTGATACAGAACAGCACGTGATCAGCTGATCAGCTGTGGATCGTCACGACGCTAAGTTTACGTTAAGTGCGTCACAGGTACATCCTTGAATGACATTACAATAAGTGATACAGAACAGCACGTGATCAGTGATCAGCTGATCAGCTGTGGATCGTCACGACGCTAAGTTTACGTTAAGTGCGTCAAAGGTACATCCTTGAATGACATTACAATAAGTGATACAGAACAGCACGTGATCAGTGATCAGCTGATCAGCTGTGGATCGTCACGACGCTAAGTTTACGTTAAGTGCGTCACAGGTACATCCTTGAATGACATTACAATAAGTGATACAGAACAGCACGTGATCAGTGATCAGCTGATCAGCTGTGGATCGTCACGACGCTAAGTTTACGTTAAGTGCGTCACAGGTACATCCTTGAATGACATTACAATAAGTGATACAGAACAGCACGTGATCAGTGATCAGCTGATCAGCTGTGGATCGTCACGACGCTAAGTTTACGTTAAGTGCGTCACAGGTACACCCTTGAATGACATTACAATAAGTGATACAGAACAGCACGTGATCAGTGATCAGCTGATCAGCTGTGGGTCGTCACGACGCTAAGTTTACGTCACGTGCGTCACAGGTACACCCTTGAATGACATTACAATAAGTGATACAGAACAGCACGTGATCAGTGATCAGCTGATCAGCTGTGGATCGTCACGACGCTAAGTTGTGCCACCCAAGACGTCGCGGCGCTGCTCACCACCGTGAAAGTGAAGACGCCCCCCTCCCCCTCCTCCGGAAATGTGGGCGGTGAAAATGGATGCAACACTTCGCTCTCTCTCTAACCAGTGGATCCGTCCTTCTCGCTCTGCAGAAATACCAATAAATACCGTCTCTCTCAGATATCACTCTCTCACTCCCACTAATGCACAACCTAGCCTATCTCTCTCACTAACTCCATCCTTCTCTACAGACCCCGTCGAGTCTTCTTTCTCCGAGATACCAATATTTTATCTTCCTCTCCGACTTATCGCACCCCTACTCTCCCCCCAGTCCTCACTGTCAACTTTTATTGTGCTTAAAAGCACTTTTAAGCTTTCACAATCCGAGTAGTAAATTTTATTTCCCGCGGCTGTGAAATGCTCCCCGCCCCGTGCGTATGACTTCGCGGGAGACACCCTTCTTTATTAGAGGACGGCTTTTGAGATATTTCACTTTGGAATTTCTTAGCGTTTCCTCCGAATATTTTTAAAGTAACGTGTGAATTTTTCCCATTCCAGAGGCATTGTATAAGTTTTTTTTTCATGGATTTGGATTTACAGTAGTGGTAGAGAGATTTTCATTTGGATTTAAGATCATTCAGTCATCAAATAAACCGTTACGTTTTTGCTCCATACACTTAGTAAGTATGTACTGTTAAACTTAAACCCTGTATTGAGTAATGTAGTAATGTCCATACTTCGCAAGACAGCGCACAGCTAAACAACGGGTATTTTTTCTTAATCTAGCTCGTCAACTGACATATTAAATGTCTTCTTTATAAGAAAAACCATGAAACTCTCATTTCAGGATTATTGATATAGTATTTATTTATGATGCAACAAAGTGTACCTCAAAGTTGTGCTTTGACCTGAATTGTTTCCTATGTACTAGTAGCAATGGCTCGTTGTATTCGTTGTCTGGTTTTGTGTTCTAGGACTGAACTACATCTCTGAGGGTACGTCAGGTGAACGGTTCTTAGTTGTTCACTCACTTTAAGGAGTTGTTCTTTTTCGGAGCCAGGGCCCGACCCGCCCAATCTGAGGGCACTTTCCTCCTACATTCCTTTACCGACCCAATGCCTTTAAAAATCATAACATTCGTTATAGCATTTTAAAGGGTTTTTGGTGTTCTATAAGATAAATATTTGGATCAATTATTCTATTTAATTGTCATGCGTAAATTATGTAATCATTTTTCGAACCATTAGTAACTCAAGATAATCTTCGCCACTTTAATCTGCCAAAAAAATATGTGGATAAATCATATTCGGATATTAGTCATAATACTCATTCATTTACTAACAAAAAGGGGAGGAAATAAATTTTAAGGTTCAACACTAATTTTAAAGTAAACAAACCGAATGATCTGTGCCAATACAGTGTAACCAACATCTTATCCAGGTTTTACTTGGCAAAATTTGGAATAAATTATCGTTATGGATAAACTGTAACAATGTACCGAATACCTTATAGACTTATTTACAAAATTGTGGCATAAATATCTTTCAACGTCAAACGTATCTTTTATCCATATTTAAATGCAACGGTTGTCAGAATTGTTGTGTTAACTCAACATTAGTGAAGGCTAGACGAGTTTGAAAGCAAATATTTTATTGAAACAGGTATGCGATGTAAAACTTGGATTAACTCGGAAACAATAATATATTTTCTTTATTCGGTTGTAATAGTGAGGTTTCCACTCCACTACCTTGTCCACTCCCCTATAGAGGAGGAACGTCCCCCGCACACCAGTGGTAGGTCCAGCTCTGGCTCCCGGGAGGTCATGTCCAGTGGCTCATCTCATTTAGCTCGCATCACACCGCTCTGACTAGTGATATTATCACCTTTGACCTTGGTTCCGACCAGAGGGAAGTGTTCTACAGACAAACACCCACTACATACACTTCATTGTACCATTGTGAACTCTTTATTTTCCGAACTCAAAAGATTGGATTAAAACCACTATAGAAATGAAAATTTCTTGTTTCCCCACAACTATGTATAAATTGGAAAATGTTTTGCTTACTGAAATTTTCGAATGTTTGCTGTACAACACTTCTCTCCTCTCTGGTCACTAATTTAAGTTTAACATTAAGTTCAATTCTCCTGTACACGCATTTACCTATTCCCTTGTACACACCCCACTTCCACCACCCAATAACCGACAGAATTATTTATATAAATAGAAAGGCAATTTTATTTAATCATTTTTGCAACATAAATAAAACATGGTTAACTATTTACAAGATTATTGTGGACACGTTATCCGTATGTATCAAGGTAAAGAATAGAGATTAACTTTGACAATTATAATTTTAGTATGTAAAAGTATTTTTTAACATCAGTTTCACAACCATACGGGAGCTAATCCTATTCCGTGAACAGGTGGGAAGGAACCAAGAACATTACCAAATTCGTAAACAAACATGACAAAGCTGGAAACGTCTTGAAACTTGTTTTCTTGGTAATAAAATTATGAAAAATGTCTGCAATAATCTTTTGAATAACATAAACGTAATACTTCCTTGTACTACCAACCGTTAATATTATAAACGTAATACTGCTAAGTGTACTACCAACCGATAACAACATAAACGTAATACTGTCAAGTACTACCAACCGTTAATAACATAAAAGTAATACTGCCAAATACTACCAACCGTTAATAACGTAAACGTAATACTGCCAAGTACTACCAACCGTTAATATTATACAGAAAAACTTATTAGTTTAGTTCATACTGTTCCGGATTATGGTATTCTAACATGTTTAAAATATATAAAAAACCTCAAATATAAAATATAGGTTGAGTTTACTGCAAATATATTAAATCATGATGAAATTATGAATTTAAGTAAAATGTTTTATCGAAATCTACTTAACAGTCCCTAGGTAGGTATTTAACAACTCGATCAACCATGAAGGGAGATCAATCGTCACTTGCCGTTATCGGTGGGGAGAGTGTTAACAAGTAGTAATAGAGACGCGTTGTTATCGAATGTAAAGACTCGGTGTTTAGTTAAACAAGACGGGGGAAGCGCTCAGGGGAAGGGGGATTCAATTATAGGGAGAAGGCTACTCGGGGCCACCCCCCCCCCCCTCGAAATAAGCCCCAAATCCGACACGGGCTCGCGATAATCCTGCATTGTCTGACGCAGCACATGTCTACGTTGGTCATGGAATTAATTGGGGTTAAATGGAATTCCGGACAAGATCCGGTCGTTGTTTGGAAAAGGAGTCGTTATTGGATTAATCGATGTATTGGATTATAAAAGTCGGATACTGACTGGGGCGTGTCAAGCAGTTGTAGGTTTAGAAAATGTTGGTATTTTATGATTAATATGGGTTGGAAAGATTCAGGATATGATCCTGATGTTAATTATCGTATTAACACTGTTAACGAATGGTAAATGTGCTGTATTATGTACGTCGTGATGTTTGTAGACGTTGGTATGGGTTTCGAATATCTGTTTGTTTATTGAAAGAATTGTTTAATATCCCTCAACTCTACGTACGAGTAAAGGCTCGTGTGAACAAAACAATTAACGGCCATGTATAGGATACATGATTTTTCTAAATAACATTATTTATCTCTTACATTTACTACCGTGAGCATAACATTTGTCCTGATTTCAATCAGATAAAATTTGTAGGATTGCATTTAAGATATTCGCCTCATTTAATATCAACCACCTAGAAATATACACTAAACGTATTTCAACTGATTATAAACCTGATATTTATTATGTTATTGAAGTATTTTAAATATTGACCCTTGATTGTTAAGTTTTGTTCTCAAAACCCAGACAAACACTGCCTGGTCTCTCTGCTCCACAATCCCTGTATATTGTACTCTTCCTTTGCTTTGTGTACGACCCTCACATTATATATACAATCGATTCACCCCAATTTTTCACACTTCTCAATCCCCATCTTTCCCCTAACAATATATGATAGCTACTGGATCGCTGTTCTAGTAAACTACAATTTCTTATATACTCAACACCAACATGTATACACTCATTGTTAGCTGATAGCAATGTACAACAAAATATATTTAGGAACAAACGTTGCCAAAGATATTGCGTTTGGTAACTTTTTTATTTACAACGTTTTTACCTTAAAAGTATGGAAGTTTTGTGGAAAGATTAAGTACAGTGTAAATAAAGTAGCTTATTATTCTTCTAATAGTCTAATTTTCCTAAAACTAATTTATTTTCACAGAATTACATTATCATAAAATTATTAAATACAAATTACAATAGCTTAATTTTGATTTGCGTAAAAAGATTGCACAACGTTTAAAACAGTTATTTTGCTTAAGCCTTGATATATCCTTTTATATATAAAGAATTAAATTTGTCCTGTTAAATGTTAAGTTTAATATAAGAATTTGTAAATATTGAGCCTTAAAAAACAATCAGAGTAAACCAAGTATACATTAAAATTAACATTTGATAAATCAGCATATTTATTCATCCACTTCCAAATCACAACAATTCAATAACGAAACACCTGACCTGACACTTTTGGGGTTATCTTTAAAGATTCAAAATCACTATTATACTGCATTTCCTTCTTGTTTTCTGGCCTTAGTAAAAGGACAACATAAAAAATTACCTTACTGCAACCATAAAAATATATTGAGACTATAATGCAGCAACTAGTGCGAGGAAGGGGGCTAAAGTACTGTAGTTCGTTTCACCCCTAAAGTAAAAATCAGCTTGAGGCGATGACATCAGCTGTTTCTTTTTCGCACCCGTACATTGGAAGAATCCTTGAATAACAGACATTCATTTGTATGCGAAAAAAAATTGAATCCATTTTGTTTGTGCCTTTTAAAAAGGCAAACAAATATTACTCTGTTTTCATTAGTATACTTAGAGGTTAGTGCAGTATGACAAAAAAAATTATCCATCAGTACACTTTCCAATTGCGTCTTTCAAGCCCTCGCTCGTAATACAAGTTAAACTAGAGCTTGTGCCTCAAAAGTCACTTGATACAAGGGATGACATTATTACTATTGGGAAGTCATTACTAAACTAGTTAAACTTATAACACTATTCCACCACACACTACACACTACACGCCGCGATCCAGCAGCTATCTGTGGCATGTATGTAAGTGGCATGACGAGCATGACGACGCAGGTCATAGCGGTGTGAACCAGCTAGGTGGGGTGTTTGTCAGTGGACGTCCCTTACCCGACTCTACTCGCCAGAAGATAGTGGAGCTAGCCCACAGTGGAGCCAGGCCCTGCGACATCTCCCGGATACTGCAGGTCTCCAACGGCTGCGTCTCCAAGATACTCGGCAGGTACGTCAAACTAGTTACTTGACTGTAGAGAATATTAGACAAGCTGTCGTCGTGTTAAAGTTGAGGAAAGTTTTAGAATGGAAATGAACCAGTTACTGAGTTCTGTCACATAAACCGATTCCCTATCCCATGGAAACTTAAGGCTCCCCTCTACCCCTGACGCTCCGTGGACACGCTAGGGTTTGGGGAAAACGGTGTTTGCGAAGGCTACACTTAAGGTAGAATCAAAGTTAAGGTTCCACTTTGATGAGGACAAAACTGGCTTAATTTTGTTGGTTGCAACATGTTTACTATCTTCCAAAAAAGTCCGAAAATCATCTTTTGAAATTATATAAAGTCAGAAATTTCAAAGTGATTTTACATATTACAGAATCGTTACTATAAAATTGCAAATGGACGACTTACTGTGATCAATAGATTAGTATTATCATACAATCGAAACGTATTATAGAAAATATAACTTTATAGAAATTATAACTTAACTCTCTAACCAATATGCTTACATCCTACTACTGTATGTTCAATTTGAACAAAATAGTGGCAATAGTACATAGACAATAACGTGGATAACATTAAGAAAAGTTTTTAACGAGCCACTTGAACATTTTACATTTCTTTTGCTAAGATCAAGCTATGTTCTATTTGAACAAAATATTGGCTATAGTAAATATACATCAACATAGGTAACATTAAGAAAAGTTTTTAACATTGTAGCTGGTTAAACGCCTTTTTAAATGTTAACCATGTTAATTTAATTTTGTATATTGTTTTGTTATTACCACTGTTGTTCCAAATTCAAAGACTTTTTAGTAATCATACCTTGTGTTGGCAGTCAGCGCTGTATAAAATTCGCAACGACCCTTTAAATAACGTAAACTCTCCATCAACAAAATACAAGTATTTATATGCACATTGTAGAGGAATTAGTAAAGCTCTCTAACCTCCATATCCCTACAAGACAATATAAAATACTCGCCTGACCGTCCACACTCACCAAGGTTCTATAGTCAAGGCCAGTCACATATCACGGCCGCTCGCCCGTCCATCCGATTATTCCGCCCGATTTACAAACACCATCAAAAACACAATCGGCTCAATAATTCAAATTTCAGTCTGGTTTTGCGTGCGGCCGAGTAACCGCGGCGGCGCTGGTAGTTATCTACGTTGTGCGATAGATATCGCTCGCTAGTAGCTAGTGTAGTGGTAGTGTGTAATGTGTTCTGTGTAGTAGTGAGGTAGCGGAGGAAATCGCGCGGAATCGTTTATCAGCTGATCGGTTACAATGATACTCATAATGTGGTGACGCGTGCTGTTAGTTGACAGATATATAGAAGTGATATATTGATATTGTTGAACTTGTTTAGTATTTCACTTTTGGTAATTTGCTTCAATTAAATTCTGTGGAGAAAATAGTATACCGAATTTCACATGAAAGACCAAATTATATCCAGTTAAATACCATATACCCAGGAAAGAATTTTTGCTAACTTTTTTTAATGTGAATTTTATATTTTCTAAGAATCTGTTATCTAAGTTTTCGTCGTTTCCTGTTTCAAGGTACAGTTGAGTAAATTATATTAAAATATATGTACGTAGAGATTGCTTGGTAGTAAATAGACTACAGTACCACTAATGTTAGTTCTTCACAGGCAGGGTAAAACTTTACGAAAATATACAGGGAATGTTAAACATTTTTAAGAAGTATAACCTCTTCTTTTATATAATTCGTAAACATATTTTATAATGACTAAATAACACTGATAATAAAGTGAAATGCTTTTCTGTCCAAACCCTAGACTTCGTTCTTTCTAAATTCGACCTTCTTATATTTAATAATCCTTCTTGAACCTCTTTAAACCTTTTTTTACCTTCTTGAAGAGTTGAATTGATCTGCAACACGGTGACACACTGTATGGAAACTTGGTCCAGAATTGAACTTTAACATTTCAAACTTATGGTTTATCTATCATGGCCTCCTTTTAATTCACAGCTGTGATCAAGAAATACATTCAACCTTTAATTATATTGTTTACAAAGCCAATCATCCTTTCTGTTCTGGGCCACCCCTGTGCATCACTATACGTCTCTAATTTGCCCCTATAAATTGGTATAAAAATAAAATGTATTTGTTGTTATAAATCGATAATAATTTTTGTGGTATAGTAATTTCACAGTAATATTAATTACGTAGGTAGATATAAATAGCTACTTTCTCAAGAATCAAACCTAAACACGATGTGTTTTGATTTAGTTATGTAACAAATCTCATTACCCAGTCTATACACTACGATGTATACTAATACAATGTCCACTATATTGGAACTGCATTATAACCCGTGTACCGCATCACTACAGGTACTACGAGACCGGCTCCATCAGACCCCGAGCCATCGGCGGCTCCAAGCCTCGGGTGGCCACGGCCGAGGTGGTGTCCAAGATCTCGCAGTACAAGAGGGAGTGTCCGTCCATCTTCGCCTGGGAGATCCGGGACAGACTGCTAGCGGAGGCGGTGTGTACCAACGACAACATACCCTCTGTGAGTACCACCAAGTAATGTAGATACTACTGTAGAACCATTATGTAAAGTGTGAATTATGTAATGTAATGTGAATACAAATATAAGAAGATGAACAATGAACAGTGTGCATTATTGGTCTAACGTAAAATACACTGTATTTTATTTTAATGCTGACAAAGGTGAACACGTGTGTAAAGAAATTTTAAGTATACCTATGTATTCAAAGGTATCATTTAACATTATTAACACGATTCTTTGTAATTAAAGTATTCCATATAAAACATGCTCAGTGCTACACTTTGCGAAACAAAAGTTAGACGAGGGAGAACTTTTAGTAAATAAAAGCATATAACATGGGAAAGAAAGTGTCAAAAACAGGGCTATAAACAAGCAGAATAACGTAATTAAATTAACTGCCGGCACAAGAAAACATTCATCAAGTTTGGTAGACATTATGGAAACAGGAGAGGGATTATTTTATAAAATGGCGACGAAGCTTGAGGCGTTGGAAGAGGGGGGATGAGAAAGTGAAATGTGGCGAGATCGCTTATAATACGCGAGGTGGCGTCGCCATGGATACCAACTGTTTACTATTGACTTCCGGACTGTAGGCTACTTCCTCTAGTGATCCCACGTCTTGGAGAACTAGGGTAATCGTCCATGTACAGTGACAGCTACAAATTGGAAACCAACTGTTTACTATTGACTTCCGGACTGTAGGCTACTTCCTCTAGTGATCCCACGTCTTGGAGAACTAGGGTAATCGTCCATGTACAGTGACAGCTACAAATTGGAAACCAACTGTTTACTATTGACTTCTGGACTGTAGGCTACTTCCTCTAGTGATCCCACGTCTTGGAGAACTAGGGTAATCGTCCATGTACAGTGACAGCTAAAATTGGAAACCAACTGTTTACTATTGACTTCCGGACTGTAGGCTACTTCCTCTAGTGATCTCACGTCTTGGAGAACTAGGGTAATCGTCCATGTACAGTGACAGCTAAAATTGGAAACCAACTGTTTACTATTGACTTCTGGACTGTAGGCTACTTCCTCTAGTGATCCCACGTCTTGGAGAACTAGGGTAATCGTCCATGTACAGTGACAGCTAAAATTGGAAACCAACTGTTTACTATTGACTTCCGGACTGCAGGCTACTTCCTCTAGTGATCTCACGTCTTGGAGAACTAGGGTAATCGTCCATGTACAGTGACAGCTAAAATTGGAAACCAACTGTTTACTATTGACTTCTGGACTGTAGGCTACTTCCTCTAGTGATCTCACGTCTTGGAGAACTAGGGTAATCGTCCATGTACAGTGACAGCTAAAATTGGAAACCAACTGTTTACTATTGACTTCCGGACTGCAGGCTACTTCCTCTAGTGATCTCACGTCTTGGAGAACTAGGGTAATCGTCCATGTACAGTGACAGCTAAAATTTGAAACCAACTTTAACGTTGTAACTATTAACAGTTGTAAGGGCTGCAGAATACTTCAGAACTTATCACTGACCTTACCTCTGACACGGCGGGAGGTTTAGTTGTAAAAAAAATCAAAAACACACAGCGAAGCGTACATGACAGCAACAGGGCTGAAGTTTAAGTCATTCCGTTCATAAATGATGCCCGTTAATGGTGATAAGCTTGTTGCGGCGTACAAGCGAACAACGGATCTATACGCGAAAACGGCCCTCATTTAAACATCCGCCCTCGTATGTTTTGTTTGTGCATGCCTCATTGTTTGTTGATCATGTCGCGTTAAGTTAGTTAGATAATTAATAATAGACTGGTACTTTTAGGTATTTTTTACTTTTAAGGATTTATATCGATAGTTATAACAACTTAAAACGCAGTAGACCGCATCTTCAAAGTATCTTTTGAGACAAACGGTCGTAGTCAAATCAATGCTTCCCGCAGAGATAACATTCTTGCATGGGGGATCCAGCTACAACTACAGTATCAGAATCAATATGGCGTGGAGAGTAGACAGACAGACAGACAGACACAGAGAGAGAGAGAGCACTTCAAACGGTTGGTTCACTCTATTGACAAACATCCTTCAAGTCGCGACGCAAACACACAAACGAACATACACAAAGCTGAAACGCCCTCACACAGTCACACATAGCGCTCAGCGAGGCATGGCTCCACTGCCGAACTTGGCGAAAAGTATCCTTTAATCTTTGTGTTTTATAATCGAAAGGGGGTCCCTAGTTTAAAACTAACAGCAAAAAGTGCATTTTTAAACACATTAAAAACTGAGTCAATCAACGAACGGCAGTAAAAGTTTCTTTAGTAGGTTTTTTCTGTTCGCCTTCCTTAGATTGTTTTCTATAACGGTACCCCACAGTAAAAGTGTAAATTTAATGTACTTGATTTTTTATTTATTTCAAAACTTTTCACAGAATCCCCTTTGTAATCCTTACTTATCTAGAAAAAAAACATCATTGTTTAAACTTTTAACTCAAACTATGATTAAAAGACCACGAGTCCTCGATTAGGCGTGGGTATGACGCGTATGATATCGCAGTATAATATTTAATGTTGTGTAAAGAATAAAGTGCAACTGTAGTTACATCATAACAATTTGGAAATTATTTTTATTATATTCTTATAATAACACCAAAGTAATATGCTATTGAAGAATTTACTTAATTTTTAAAGTTGTATAACAGTCAGAGCAGATTTAGTATAGAAAACGTCCACTGTATCGTAAAGCAAGGCTCGGCTCGGATTTCGAATCATTCTGCCTCATATACTTGCACCCTCAGTCAATGTGAGTCATTCAGCGTTGGTTAGCTGTGTCATAACATTGCAGAACAAGAGAGCTGCAAATATCTGGTGTGTCATAACTTCAGAACAAGAGAGAAGTTAATATCAGCTGTCAAAACCAGGACTAGAGGGATTAGAACAACTAGTTGTGTCACAAATAAGTTGTCTCAATACTACAGGACTGGAGATATTTTAGAAAGATCGTTATTGGCGAGGAAATGTTACAATCACAGACACTAACCATATCCCATATCCCTTGAAATACCTGACTCCCCATTAGAAAATGGAAAAAGAAACGGATTTGTGTGTAAAACCCAATTTCGATGATACTTAAGGGCCAGTTGTTGATAACACAAGGCAATTGTCATGAGGACAGGAAGTCAATGGAGGACATGTCCTTCAAACTAAGGATGCGTGATACGAAAAAATGTAGTAACTAAACTCTGTACTTTCCCCAACTTGAGTGCTATCTGGTTACACGATGATTTGACAGGCTAAATATACTAAATATGCATACACCTCGATGAAGAAATCGTAGGCCAACTAAAATTGATCACATATAAAAGCTAATCTCTTAAAAAAATAAAAAAAAAAACATTAAATAAAACCATTGTAAAAGATGGTACAGGAAAGTTTCCTGCGAGTCTTCAAAGACAAGCCCTCAAAACAACAACAATAGAATCAGGGAGAATGTTAGTTGTAAATAATGGGATTACCCAATGAAAATATGGTTTCTTGAATTTTTGGAGATTCCTGTGGAAAAGGGAGTTCTTTAAGAGTAAAGTTTGACTAAATATTGGTAAATTTAGTTGTGTTCTATTGAGAGGTACAGAATAGCTACTCGCATGCGCATCTACTATTTTCGTTAGACGGTGTAAAAACGTGTTATGAATTTTTTTTATTTATGTGTATAAAATGTATTTACTGCAGCTGTAATCAGAATTTTCATAATGATTGCTCTTATTTGAAATGATAAGTATGATTATGATGCAAATACTGTAATGCACTTAGCCTATTTTATTGCATAAATAATTATTTCCTAGTTGAAGATGTCTTCTTTAGTAACTCTCAATAACTTAGGGGTTTGTCGTCAACTAGTAAAAAAGAGGGAGATAGATTAATCATTTCCACTTAGGAGTCTTGATGGAATTCTGGTATTTCTTATATTAAACACATCTGTGTCTAAAATAACGTGTGTGTAGAAGTTCAGCTAGCTCGTTGTTCAATACAGTAAAATTGTTGAAATTAGCCTGATTAGCACTTAGCTTTGTTAGCATTGTATGAGACTGTCACCATTGCATTTCTATAGCCGGATCAATCCATATAAAAATCTGTAGATTCTTTATGATTTGAAAGTGCCGGATCGTTGGGCTGTTAATTAATGATCTTGGCTAAATAAACCGCTAGTGTTCGTCAGGAAAGAAGCAACCCAAGGCATCTCCATAATATACTATTCATCCGTCAATTTTTGGTTCCAAATACGCCCGGTGGCGTCCCAACTTCAATTGGTAATTGTGATTTGAACGCACTTCATAATCTCATCCTATGATATGATCCTATGCAGCTTTACTAGCACGCGTTAGAACACACAAGGAGACCTCACACTAGCTACGCGTGACGTCCAAATCACGCGACTCATCTTCGAAATTAAAATCGCTGCTAATGACACCCCGTTCCCGCGTGAACGTTTACCCCTGATTAGCGCGGGTAACTACGTTACACCCTCCCCCCTACCCCCCTGACACGCTCCGCACGCTGCGACTACCCTTGACACAGATTTCTGCGTGAGCGGCTCGCGACAGTGACTCGGGGGTGGAAATGTGATTGTAGGCTCGGGTGACTCTGTACACCCTCTCCCCCTCCCCCCTCCCCGCTACCTCACCCCCGCAATCAATTCTCACCCCGAGTACAGATCTCGCTTCAAAGAAGGAATATTTAAAATGATTTGGAAATTGTAACTGATTTTGACGGTGATTTATCGGTGGTTAACAGTCACCAAGAGAGACGGAGATTAGTAGACAACTTATGATTTGTTAGTGAAGCAAATGATTTATATATGGATTTGATATATTTTTTAAGTATATAATAGTTGTTCGATTGACTAGTTACCATCAATAAGCCCTTATTAAATTTCAAAATTTATTAAATTTAAGTAACCATGTTTAAAAAGTCTTTAAAACTGAAAAATTCGAATACTCGTCATTTTTAGAGTGGCTGTAATAGATGCTGCCTGTAACAATATCACTA